CTCAGCCTCCTAAAGTGCTGGAATGACAAGCATGAGCCACCACACCTGGCCCTCTATGTACCAAGATTTCTTTGGGGGCCTTTATACACGTTATCTCATTCAGCCCTCACACCAAATGTATATTACACAGATGAGGAGATTGAACCTTAGCAAGTAATGTGGTCAAGAGTACCTATTCAGAAAGTGCTGAAGCCAAGATTAGAGCCAGTTGTTTGTGACCAAACACTGAGCTCTTTCCATTCCTTAGCTATTCCTCTAACATCTTATATGGAGATTTGCAGCACCCTCTGAATCTAAACACAATGAACAGTTTCCTAAGTGCCTTAACTCTGGTGTCTGAACTTCCTACCCTTGTTTAAAACCATGTGCTGCTGTAAAAAGCAAAATGCCTGCATGCTATTGAGATGGATTACATTATCTAACCAAATATCTTTTCCTCTTCAGCCTACTTCTGAAATAATTTTATAATCTCTGACTTTGTTTGCTAGTTGCCTTTTTTTGTAAGACTCAAAGTACATATGATCTCAGAAAGGATTTTTGTTTGTTTGTTTGTTTCCTGGGGTTTTTTCTTGTTTGTTTTAGTTCCTTCAAATAACTCACTTTAATTTGGCCCCTGAGTTACATTATTTGGCTTAATATGCAAGTTTGATTAACATTTCTTTGTTAACTTTTAATTTCCCTCATTCATCTCCATCACCATTTTGGAAGCATGAACCAACATCCAAGAACCTGGATTCAAGCATGAATTAAACACCAAATGCACAACAGAATAAGAGCAATAATGGTGATATTTACTGAACACTCACTGTGTACTAGGCCCTGTTCTCTGCATTTTCCGTATACTAACTCAATCAATTCTCACAACAAACTACTATTGTTTCCATTTTATAGATGAGGCAACTAAGCTACAGAGAGGTTAAATAATTTGCCCAAGATCACACAGCAAATGGTAGAGCCAGAATGTAGACCCCAACACTGTGTCCCAGATCTCAAGAAACTGGCATGATCATATGAAACAAAATTGAAAATGGGTGTGTATTTTCACAACCCCTGACATGAAGTATTACATTCTAAAGGAGTGAGCACTGCCCTTGGGGTGAGGCAGACCTGTATTTCAAGCCCTAGCCATAGTCCTTACTAGATGGATAACTTTTGGCAAGTTTCTCATCGGGTTTCTTATTCATAAACTGGAGATAATAGTCATTACCTATTGAGAAGATTAGTACCAGACCTGGCACTATCAGGCATTCAGAAATATCCTTGTAACTGTGTTATTGCCACCACTAAGAATGATTATCCTATCCTATGGTGACCAGAAAATGTCACTGTTTATGTGGCATTATGAAATGTTTGAATAATTCTAAATCGTAATATGTAAATATCTCTACTAAATTAAAAACTGATATCAATAATTACTAACATCATGGCCAAGTGTGACACGCTTTACCAGCATCATCTCATTTAACCCACATAAGATTTCCAAGAAGATACTAGTGTTGGCTCCATTTTGCGGATGAGTAAACCAGACAGCAAACAGGTTAAGCAACATCCCTAAGTCTACCCAGCCATCTGTGGAGTCAGGATTCAAACTCAGGCAGCTGAATCCCAGAGCTCATGCTCTCAACCATCACATTACACAGCAGTATTTCTCAGTATATGCTCCTGGCTGAAAGTGCCAATGATAAGAACCTAAAATAATGATCAGCATTCATTTCTCTCTTAGTGATTGCCGCCTACCATTAAGAGCTAAGAAGGTGATAATCACCTGCTCCCAATAGCCATAGACTCTGGAGTCAGAAAATAACTAGCAAACTCACTCTTACATCCATCCAGACCTCAGTGAAACATTAAGTTCCTTAGAGTTAGAACAGTATAAGTTTAGAAAATGCCCAATGATTGCAATATGCATTATGCAATTTACAGTACTGCAGTTGCAGGTTGAGCTTTCCAGAAGCAAATGCTGAGGTGAAGTCCGGAGTGCAAGATTTTAATAGAGACATGTATGTGAAAGGAGGAGGGAGAAAGCAGTAATGGGCAGAAGTAAAAGCTGAACTGTGAAGCAAACACAACAGAGCCATGGTCAACCCAGTGCAGAGCTCAGGAGCAGCAACACACGCACACCACTTCTCATACCCCTGAAGCTCACAGGCATGCACAGGCACTGAGCAGCAGACACATGTGCAGGTCAACTTGACACAGAGAGGCTACAACCTCTGTTCCCCACCAGTCTTCAAGTACTGCTCTGATGACGTTAGCACGACACTTGCAGGCCATCCTGCGGTTCACCCCTTCTGGGGAAGTTCTGCAGAGCAGGGGTTTCACAGCGCACAAGGCAGCCACAATATGCCACATTTATCATTATTCCATGGTTTCCAAGGAAACAGGGCCTGTGGGCATTTTCCCAGACAGACCTGGGTTAACCCAGTCCAAATGTTAGGTGTTTCCTCAAATATCCCCTGATACTTACTTGTTGCATGACTTTCAGCAAGCTTCTCAACTTCTTTAAGCCTAAATTTCCTCATCTATAAAATGAGGGTACCTGCCAAGATTGTTGTGAAGGTTAGATCAGGTAGATGAGATAAAACTTTTGCTTATAAAGAAATAACTAGGACTTTGATGGTGCCATCTTTGTATTCAATGGATAAAAATAAGTACACTTGGGATTAACCATGTGGCCAAATGATTATGTGCTGCCTTTTCATGTTCAGGTTATGACAACTCGAGAAGACAAAGTTGTCATAGTTGAAAGGAAAGATGGGACTCGGATAGTGGATCATGCTGATGGTACCAGGATCACAACCTTTTTTCAAGTTTATGAAGATCAAATTATTCTGCCAGATGATCAAGAAACAAGTACGTTTTATTTAGCGTAAGTTAGATAGAATCCTCACTGACTGCTAAACATACACATGAGAAAAATAATTTTTTGGTAAAGTTAGTCAACTAAAGAAAACCCATGCAGTCCAAAGCAGGGTCTATAAGGATTTAGTATTATTACTATCATCATTACTTATTTTGCTGTTTGCTTTTTAAAATTTAATTTTATTCTATCAATTGACAAATATTGTGTGTAGATATATAAAATATGGTGTGTTGAAATATGTATACATTGCAAAATGACTCAATCAAACTAATTAACATATTCATTACCCTCAGATACTTATTTTTAGTTGTGAGAAAACTTAAAATCTACTTTCTTAGAAATATTTTTTGACCAGCAGCACCCAGCAGCCAAAAGTTTCTCCAACACACCTCACTGTGTGTGTGTGTGTGTGTGTGTGTGTGTGTGTTTTATTTATGTATTCATTTATTTAAAACTTTTGAGTTAAGGGGTACATGTGCAGGTTTGTAATTTAGGTAAATTCATGTAACGGGGTTTGCTGTACAGATTATTTTGTCACCCAGGTATTAAACCTAGTACCCATTAATTATTTTTTCTGATCCTCTCCCTCCTCCCACCTTCCAGTAGGCCCTAGTATCTGTTGTTCCCCTCTATATGTCCATGTGTTTTCATCATTTAGCTCCCACTTATAAGTAAGATGAAGCAGTATTTGGTTTTCTCTTCCTGTGTTAGTTTGCTAAGGGTAATGGCCTTCAGCTCCAAGCATTTTCCAGCAAAGGATGTGATCGTGTTCGTTTTTATGGCTGCATAGTATTCCATGGTGTATATGTATGCCATTTTCTTACTCCACTCTACCATTGATGGGCATTTAGGTTGATTCCATATCTTTGCTATTGTGAATGGTGCTACAGTGAACATACGTGTGTATATGTCTCTACAGTTAAATGATTTATGTTCCTTTAGGTATATACCCAGTAATGGGATTACTGGGTTGAATAGTACTTCTGTATTCAGGTCTTTGAAGAATCACCACACTGTCTTCCACAGTGTCTGAACTAATTTAAATTCCCACCAGCAGTGTATAAGCATTCCTTTTTTTGCTGCAACTTGGCCAGCATCTGTTACTTTTTGGCCTTTTAATAATTGCCATTCTGACTGATGTGAAAGTGCATCTCATTGTGGTTTTGATTTGCATTTCTCTAATGTTCAGTGATGTTGAGCTTTTCTTCATATGATTTTTAGCCACCTTTATGTCTTCTTTTGAAAATTGTTCGTGTCTTTTGCCCACTTTTGAATGGGGTTGTTTGGTTTTTTTGCTTGTTAATTTGTTTAAGTTCCTTATGGATGCTGGATGTTAAACCTTTGTCCAATACATAGTTTGTATATATTTTCTCCCATTCTCTAGGTTGTCAGTTTAGTCTGTTGATAGTTTCTTTTGCTGTGCAGAAGTTCTTTGTTTTAATTAGATCTCACTTGTCAATTTTTGCTTTTGTTGCAATTGCTTTTGGTATCTTTGTCATGAAATATTTGCCTGTTCGTATGTCTAGAATGGTATTGCCTAGGTTGTCTTTCAGAGTTTTTATAATTTGGGGTTTTACATTTTATTCTTTAATTCATCTTTAGGTAATTATTCTATATGATGTAAGGAAGGGGTGCAGTTTCAATCTTCTGCATATGGCCAGTCATTTATTTCAGTACCATTTATTGAATAGGGAGTCCTTTCCTCATTGCTTGTTTTTGTTGATTTGTTTAAGATCAGCTGATTGTAGGTGTGTGGCTTTATTTCTGGGCTCTCTATTCTGTTCCGTTGGTCTCTGTGTCCGTTTTGCTGCTTTGGTACCAGTACCATGCCACTTTGGTTACTGTAGTCCTGTAGTATAGTTTGAAGTTGAGTAGCACAGTTGCCTCCAGCTTTGTTCTTTGTACTTATCATTTTTAGTTGTGAGAATACTTAAAATCTACTCTCCTAGAAATTTTCAAAATATGATTAATTTTATTTACTATAGTCACCATGTTATACAGTATATCTCTTTAATTTATTCCTCTTATATAACTGAAATTTTATATCCTTTGACCAACATCTCCCCAACTCCTCACCCCGATGGCTGGTAACTACCATTCTACTCTCTACTTGTATGAGTTCAACTATTTTAGAGTCTACATATAAGTGTGCTGTTTGTCTTTCTGTACCTGGATTGTTTTACTTAAAATAATGTCCTCCAGGTTTATCCATATTGTTGCAAATGACAGATTTCTTTTTTTTTTTAACACTGAATAATATTCTCTTGTCTGTATTTACTACATTTTCTTTGTTTATTCACCCATTGATGAACATGTGGACTGATTCCAAATCTTGGTTATTGTGAATAATACTGCAATGAATATGAGGATGCATTAGGACTTTTTATTGTGATCATTATCTCAACAGAGATGGGAGTGATAACAGCTCTAGTTAGCTGATGGAGAGTAATAGTCTTTGATTGGTGGCAACTAAAACCTAATAACCATGATTCATCTGTCCTAGGTGCTAGCTTTAGATGTTTCCTTTGATCCTCAAGGCATCTAATTTGCATAAATAGGTGACCTTAGATAGGTTTTCAGTCAGAGCATGTCTTTTGTCAGAAAGGTGGTATCAGAAAAAAGGAAACTGTAGTTGCTAATTAACAGGAACCTACTCTAAGACTCAAAGTCTTCCACTCTTCCGAACCTGAATTTAAGAAATATTTTTAATGAGAAGTTATTCCCTGAGTTCCCTTTCCTTAATGCCAGTGTTTTTTATTGGATATATTTAAGATGCACAACATGATATTTTGATATCTATATACATAGTGGAATAAGTCAAGCAAATTAATATATCTCTTACCTTATATAGCTGTTTTCTTGTGTGTGTGTGTGTGTGTGTGTGTGTGTGTGTGTTATGAGCACCTAAAATCTACACTCTTAGAAAATTGTCATTATACAATACAATGTTATTGACTATAGTTTTTATGCTATACATTACATTCTTATACTTATTCATCTTACATAATTGTAACTTTATATGCTTTGACCTACATCTCCCCACCCCACCCACATATCATATTATGATGCAATAACTTTATTTCTGCTTATAGAGAGAGGGACACTCATACACATTTGCATAAGGAAACAAGTATAGAGGAGCGACTTGCAGCATTGAGTATAATATTGAAATATTGGGAAAATGTAAATGTCCATCAATGGCAGAATAGAAAAATAAAATGTGGTACATTCCTACAAAATAATACTATAAGATTGTTAAAGGGAGTCATACACACACAAATAAATATATCTATGCACACATATATGGATAGATAGATATAGATTAAGATGGTTAGGGGTCTTGAAACTGTGTTAAATGAAAAAAGCAGGAGTAGAATGATAGTACAGTAATTACATAAATACATGGAGTAACACATAGCTTATATACATTTAAAGCACACACATATGTATTGTTCGTGATATATGTGTACATAAAAGTGTAAAAATGAATTTCAAGAGAGAAATAAGCCCAGATATAAGGATAAACTTCAATTTTATCTGTGATTTTTCTTTTACATATGTATTAAAAAGTATAAATTTTAATTGATGAATATCTGAGTGCTTAAATTATATTTTATGCTTTTCAATTTTTCAAGTTGAAAAATCAGATGTTCTCAGCTCCTACAAATAAATAGTGAGATTAAGACAGCATACTAAATTAAGTAAGAAGATTTTTTCC